GGGGGGGTGTTGTAACCCTCCCAGCCCAGGTTGGCTCTTGCAAGCAGGATCGAAGCCCATCTTCTTATTAGTTTAGATTGTGTCAATGGGAGCGCTGTAAAATCACCTCCATTTTGTTTTGATACTGTCCAAGAAGACGTCGACTTTTCTTACCAATAACGGGTGGTTGTCTTGGACAGGTTCGACTGTTTTTGCTGGATCTTACGTTGTAGGTTCAAAGGTGAAAGTCAAAATACTTCCCCAGTATTAGGTTCTAATTAGATTGTTTGGGTGGGGGATTGGTGGGTGCTGTGGCGTGGTTTGCTCCTTCTTTCCTATCAAACATCTGTCGCCCTTATCTCTCCTTTTTTTTTTTTTTTTTTTTTTTTTGGTATACGTTACTCTGTTGTGACACCTCTAATCTTCGGCACTTATTGCAATTACCATAAAACTCTCTCTAAAACTAAGATTGTTTGGCTGTCTTATAATAATAATTAATAATTGCATTTATATAGCGCATATCCATGCTCAAGAGAATGCTCTATGCGCTTTACAACTATTATTACCCCAGCAGACCCTCTGAGAACACTCAGAAACATTCTCAGCTTCTGAGGAAGCATACAGTGCAAGCTGCGGATTTCACGCGCTCAAACACTATCAAACTGACAAGATCTTTCTCTGTCTATAGCCGGGTACCCATTTCCACCTGGGTGAAGTGAGAAAAATTTGTGCTAAGTGCCTTTCTCAAGGACACAACGTCGGGGCCCCTGACGGGATTCAAACCCACGACCTTACTATTACGCCAATCTGAAAGACTCCAAACTTTGATGATCTCCCCTTCAGCTTCATTTTTTGTTTGTTTTTCCTCTCGTTTAGGTGCAAACCAAACAAAAGTATCAGGCTGGTCAGTTGTCGCGGTCAGACGCGGGCCCGACACCAGCACTACAGTCCCGCAAGTTGGCACAGATCCACAGCATACTTAAAGAGGAGTAAGTGGTTACAATTACTGTTTCTAGACCGGGGAGGTATCTCCTGCGAAATTTCAGTTTCCAGTTGTCTGAAGTTTTTATCACAGCTTTCAAAGCTGTTGGAAAATCTTCCCCGTCGAGGCCAAAATTATTGTGCTCAATGCCCTTTTTTTTTAAGAATTTGAATCTGATTTTACACTGACAATTTTGTTTTTGTGTTGTTGGCGGATGCTCTAGTGTGGTTTGCTCCTTCTTTCCTATCAAACATCTATCGTCCTTCTTACTGCTTCTTTTTTTGTGTTTGTTACTCTCTTGTAACACCTCTAATCTTCAGCAATTATGTGACCTGGTTCTGCTGCAGGTGCTGTAAAATGCTTACAAAAACTAAACTGACTCCGGTTTTCATGACTGGAATTCTGTGCTTTCAAAGTGATTAACATTCAAAACCAGAAAATTGGGGCTTAGTACAAGATAGCACTGTGCTCTCAATTGATTTCCTCCCTGTGGCGATGGGTGTGCGTACTACTAACTAGTGTTCTGGATGTTGTGCTATTTTTTTTATTCTAATGACTAAAAATAGGGCGCAAAGTCTATCATCTGATCTGAGCAGTTACAAAGAAGTCTCCTCCCCCTTCTATGTTCTTACCTGTATTACCTGTCCTGGGCAACAGCGTCATTGCACACCAGACAGGTCCATAAGTGCTCAGTTCCCCCCAGCACCGAAGCCCGCAGGGTATCCATACTGATTGTTCCGGTGGCTGTCTGATTATGGTGACGTCTTTCCTTTCCAGATAATCGTTCCTTTCTTCCTTCTCCCCTCTCTATCCCCACTTCCCGCATCCTAATGATTGTTCTTTTCATGAGCATGTTCTTTAATTAACATGAAATCTGTATTATTATTATCTGTTATATACTGTATTTGAAGAAATTCTCTGGTCCCATGAAGTTTGTGTTATCGGGGTTTTACTGTATTTGTGTCTTATGAGAAGCAGGACTCACATTGAGATCTAACACGAAAAGCAAGAATTGACTCCATGTCTCTTGTCTCTGACACAGGGGTAACGACATTCAAGAGCTGAAGAATGACATCCGTCGACTGACCCTCAGTCTGAACTGTGACCTCAGTGCTTGACCCAGGAGGTCAGAGGGTTCGAGGCTCTGACTCTGACACCGCACACAGGGCATGTGAGCATCAGGACGGTCTGCTGTTGCGGTCAGACACAGGGCAGATGCTGGTGATACAGTCCTTTTCGTCAAATGAAAAAAAAACTTGACGTTCTTAAGGGAAGACCTGGGTCGGCGATCCCAGACAATATCGATAAAATTTTTCAAACTATCCAACTTTTGTTTTTTGCGGAAAAACATCCTTTGACATCTGTTCTATCGGGTCACAATGACGAAACTGTTGAGAATACACCCTAAATGACCTAAAAGAGCGTTTGAAAAGTGCAAATTGCACTAAAAATCCTTTTAAAAATCCCTGTTTTTTTCTGTTTTTATCAATATCTACTTTTTGACATACACGACCTTCTTGGTGCAAGGAGTTTTCAAGAACTGCTAAAGCTAGAAGCTTCAAATTTGGCGTATGGGTGCTTTAAGATCTATTCTGGGGATCCATTTGAGGGAATTGGGAAATATTGGTAACTTGTGGAAATCTTCAAATTTTTTGTAATATGTACCCCCAAATTTCGTCAAATGGGGTCCATTGACTTTGGGCTCACTTTTTTATTTTTAAAGATATGTCAAAATCCTCTCAATCGCCACATAGATCCCCAGTCCATAGGTTTGTACTTGTGAGCCAAATATCAGGCTGATGTTTCAATATTTACTATGAAATTCTTCTGCACTAAGAAACTGGTTTGAAAATCCAAGATGGCTTCCACAGAGACCCATTTTTCAGAAGATATTAACAAATTCACCCTTAGTACATCCTATTTACCTTTTGAACTTTCTGCACAATTACATGAAAGTGAATAAAAGTCCTCCTCCCAGGGCAGTGCCACTGACTGTAGTGTCTCTAGGCCATTCCCAAAGGGGGGACATTTCTCGTTCAAGCACAGTAGAATTGTAAATGGGCTGAGTCATGTCACGCTCATAACTGTGCCTGATCTACAACAGGGAACTGCTGCTTTTTCTTTCCTAATCCTTACTATTGTCATTTTCCTCTACTTCTTTTGTATGTTTGTCACTCTCTTGTGACCTGCTATTTCCGGGGTGCCTTGATAGTTGAAGCAGACCTTGAGCTGTTGAAGCAAGAGAGGTGAGCAGAGTAAGTCGGATTCCCTGTAAAGACTTCTCTGTTGACACCCACCCCTTGGCGCTCATCTGACCTTATGCAGTTGCGAGCGCCGTAAAACCCTCTACTATAATTTTTTAAATAATAGAAGTCATTCGTTTCGAAAATTTTTCCGGGAGTGTAGTATGTCTCCCCTTGAATAAAATTCACTTTCTCTTCAACTTGTCACTCATGATGTTATGCCTTCTTTTGATTATGATTGTTTTTTCTATGTATGTTTATATGATATTGAACCGATTAAAGGTCATGTGAACCTCGAACTTTGAGTTGTTCTATGGTTGTAAGAAATAGCTAATGGCTGTTTCCTTGTATGTCTGTGTTTGTGTGTCTTTGGGTCATTCTGATTATGTGTCTTTGTATCATTGTATTTGTTTGTATATCTTTGCATCCATCATTGTTTTTTATCTTCGTACCGATATGTTTATATGTCTTTGTATCATTGTGTTTGTATATATATGAGGCATTGTGGTGAAATCAGGCACTAGTCAAAATAATGAAATCGAAGATATCGGCAATTTTCCTCCAGCTTGACAATTTTTTTCTTATTTGTTTTTTGCCTCAGCACCTTTTATGTCTATTTAAAAACATATTTAATTTCTGTGTGCGTTTTACTTGTTGAAAAACATTATTGAAGGCATAACAAATGTAAATTTTCAGTTTCCATGGACTCTCAAGCTTTGGAAATCACCAAACTTTGGCGGCCATTTTCTCTCTAATTTTATCTCTGGAGGAACCAGGCGGCCCCGACCTCCTTCAATCTCGAATATCTCGACTTCTATTCAAGATAGGTGTGCATTTTTTCATAAAAAGATGGTCAAATAAACAAGCTTTAACCCTATCCGTATCCCCTAGGGTCATTTTGTACCCCCGGGGTTGTATTCTTCACATTTATTTTTAGAATACTTCTAGCGAGAAGATCTCTTTGAAACTTTCACTATTTCTCAAAAAATCATTTTGACAGACTGCTGTCCATTAACGAGTAAATTTCCACTTTGAAAAGTGGTGGCACAGAGTTCCCCACGTCGTATGGATACGATAGTAAAACACGACTTACAGATAGGGTTAAGAAGATACCAGTAACTTCAGATGCCCCGAAATTGACGAGCGCCTGATTCCATCACTTTGTGACTCATATCTTTTTATTATTGTGACGGTGGGTCTTTGTATTGTTGTGATTGTGTGTCTATGTACCAATGTGTTTGTGTATCTTTGTATCATAGTGACTACTTACTTGTCCTTACTTGTCCACTGTGTTGGGGTCACTGCAGTCGGAACATGTCCATCTAACAGACTCCTGTCCATTAACGAAAAGTGGTGGCACAGAGTTCCCCACGTCGTATGGATACGATAGTAAAACACGAGTTAGACAACTCGTAGTGATTGTGAAAGAGAAGTCATTCTTGCATTGTGTTGACCTGAATGGTCTGAACCACTAGATCAACCAATGCAATGTGCACCTGAAAGCGGGTGGTTGGCGGGTGCTCTGGTGTGGTCTGCTTCTTCTTTCCTATTAAACATCTATCGTCCTTATCTCCCCTTCTTCTTTTTTATGTTTGTTACTCTCTTGTAACACCTCTAATCTTCTGGCGCTCCTATGACCTTATGCAGTTGCGAGCGCCGTAAAACCTCTACTAAAACAAACAAAAAACACCTGAAAACAGTGGCAAAACAATTGCTCAGTCCCTAGAATTCTAGTTGAGTTTTACTCCCACTTCAACACAGACTCCAGACATTTTTTTCTGAATGGAAAGGTGGAGGACGCCACTGGGTAGGTCCTACTTTTCTTTCCCCTCTGTTGTTTCTGTCTGTCTGTCTGTCTGTCTCATAACAAAGACCTCTTCCTGACCAAAACGGTTTCAAGCGAATCATACTATTCATACATGTAGTTTTAAAACAACTACATGTATGCGTTCGGGCTCTCTACAGCTTTTCTGACGTACCGAGCCCACCTCACGCTAGTCCGACTGTATACCTCAGCTGTCAACCATGAGGATTTGTTCCAGCCTGCGTCCTCTCTCTTCAACCAGGTCCAGTGACTTGCTTTCTCAACTATCTCCTTTTCTGTGGATCAAGTCCTGCCACTCTCATCCACTTTCTAACGCTAGTTGCAATGAAACCTCAACTGAAACGTGAGTTGTTTTCCTCCCTGACTCCTCACATAATTTTTCAACAAACGCCTCGTAACGATTTTCTTTCCGCTCATGTGCAGCATTGATGTTGTCTTCGTGAGGCACTGTGAGCTCCACCAGCTGCACCTTTTTCTCTTTATCATTCTATATCACCAGGTCTGGCTTTTTTGTTGTTGGGATGGGGAAGAATCTCTCGAAGCCCTATACTATAAGTATAAGTCTGTGGTTACCTCCCATATACCGCCATATATTGGTCTTCCCAGGCTTCGTTTGCCTTCTCTCTGATAGGAACCTTGCTTCCTAGCGGAACGAACACTTTGAGAGTAGTCTGAACCGACCATCAAGTATCAATTCTGAGTCAATTGGATCCCTCCGGCAAATCCCGCTAAACGCCACTCTCGATTGTCCCCAAGCAAGAGTAGAAACCAGAAGTGTTATAATAAATGTCTTGTCCTTCAATAAAGCCCCAGGCGCAGACCCCCGCAAAAGACGCTGTTGAAACAGACAATATATTATATACTGTTGCCACAAACTGCAGTGATGTAACGAGAGACAACACGTAAACATGAAAGCTCTCTAAAACAGAGGAGACCGGGCAGAAAGCGGATCGGATGAACTGTGAGAACTGCTTTGTACTAGCTGGAGAAAAACAGTCGAAGTCAATCCCTCCCCCCTCCCCCCACCAATTAAATATATATCATATAGAGGGTCTGTTCATGGCAACCCAGGCTGTCTTAGACATTAGACATACGGTATTTTCCTCAGCAGAAAGACAGAGGTACTTGATGAAGTCCCGCACAGAACTATATAACTACTACTTACTTACTTGACTTTTTACTTTTTCATCCTCTGTTGCCGTTAAGCATCGAGGGGAGATGCAGTTTTCTATGGTAGGCCAGCTCCGCAGCTCTTTCAGTTGTGATGTTATGTTTTCTTAGGGTTTCCTTGACACCCTCGATCCACCTTTTGCGTGGCCTTCCTCTGTAGCCTGGGTGCTTGGTGTTGTAAGCTCTCGGGGATGGCTGGTCAGGTGACATGCGTAACAGGTGGCCAAACCATTTTATCCTCTGTCCTTCTATGTAATGCAGGTAGGACTCAGTGCCGATAGCTGCTCTTACGTCTTCATTTCTCTGCCTGTCTCGTCTTGTGATTTTTAGGGTTTTGCGGAGACATTTCATTTCGCATGCGGTGATTTTGCTATCATGGGTTTTGCTTAAGGTCCAGGTCTTGCACTGATAACATAATGTTGGTATGAATATTGAGGCGATAAGCTGTCACTTTGTGTCCATGGAGATGTTTGGATGAGATAGGAGGGGTGCGAGCTGGTAGCGTTGGCTTTTTGAGTTCGCATTTCTAATTCTCTGTCTATGGACCCGTTTTCAGAAAAAGTGCTGCCAAGATATTTAAACTCCTTCACCTGTTTCAGTTTTACTATGCTGGGGTTGTTGTCAAAGAAAGAGACAAAGGTGATGTTGGGGTTGATTTTTTCCAGAAAAAAGGGCCAAAAGAGCCCACACTTTGTAAAACCAGCAGTGGAAGATATCTCTTCAGTCCACATTGACTCAATCAGAGCCATTTTAGCCCCACCCACATTCTGAACTCAGAGGCACTATAGCAAGAACCATAGAGGTGACATCTGTTTTTAGGTTGACAGTGGACACGTTGGTGGTTTTAATTTGCGTTAAATTTCATATTTGTGTCGTTGTGAGGAAGGACATTTTGTTGTTGTTTAGGTTCCGATAGCCCTGGTAACAGATGTCACCTATGACCCACTTCTCCCCAGGGGGCCCAGTTCTCCCCACAGGAGCGGCCCATTTCTCCCCACAGGAGCGGCCCAGTTCTCCCCACAGGAGTCCAGTTCTCCCCACAGGAGCGGCCCAGTTCTCCCCCACAGGAGCCCAGTTCTCCCCCACAGGGGCGGCCCAGTTCTCCCCACTTGTAATGTTGACTTCAGCACCCTATAAAACCATTTTCTTTCTATCTC